TGTTTTTTTAAACACTTACATCACCAACTTTCACACTGAAATATTCCAACCCAGCAATGGTCTTAGGAAATTAAAACAGAAGACCAAACATATACAGTGAATTGTTAAAAACCAACATACTGATTTTAGTATGTTACAGAGTTATCTTCTGCACATCACCGAATTTTTGGTAAAGCATAAACAAAACAACTCAAGACACACTGTCCTTTTAAGCTAGTAAGATTTACAATCTAGTATGTCACACCAAGATACAGAATTTTAAATGCAACCAGTAAATCCTCTTCAGGTAAGCCTCAGTAGCATAGTTAAAAGCTGCTAAAATGACAGTGCTAGTAAGCAAAAGTATGTAGCCACTGTTAGCTTTAATGCTAAAAAGATAGCAAAAATAAAAATCCTTATATACTTGAAAAATCCCTAAAAATAAGAGGTACAAAATACACAATCTGTTTCAGTTCTGAACAAAGAGACTCGAGATGAAAAGGCCAAGGGCCCCATCCACCTACGTAACAGTGCCAGGAATGATACAAGGTTGCTGCTTTAAAAATTTGACAAATTCACAGTGAGCTGCCACCTCCACAAATCCAGAACATTTATTGCAGCTATAAGGATGACCACCTATGTTGCATTTAAATTCTTTACATGACATGATCCTTACAAAGGAAAAACTGATTAAAAGAAGCCAGTTTTTAAATATTCAATAAGCCAAACACATGAATTTATGGTTCTCCTATGTAATAAGAACCCACTTATATTTGTAGAGTCCTTTATACAAGTGACCATGTCAGATTACCTGAAAAACAGTCAAAAAAAAAAAACAAAACCGCTTTTGTTTGGGTTTTTTTAATACAGGACAGAGAAGATAGTACTAAGAAAGGCAGCCTTGTAAGTGGGAACATTTTAAAACAGGTGTCTGGGGGGGGAAATGGGTAAAATATTTAATATAGCTGCTTTTGAATGCAACATTTTACTTATCTACTTGGAAAAATTCTTGCAAGGGGTGCTAAAGTAAAGCTAAATCAACTACTTTAATATGCTTTAAACCTCTCTAATTAGATGGAGACAAGAATGTTCTGAGCTTCAAATACCACAATTTAAAACACCATTTAAAAAGCAACTTCTATGAACAATTCTGCAAAATATTTTGCCCTACAGTAGCAAAACTCCAGGCACTGGTCACATAATGGAAAATAGACAATAATTCTTTGAGTTGTGCTGACATTATGACTGGCATGATTGTAACCACAAGCTAAAAAATAAGTAGGGAAGATTAAGTTGAAGAAATGATGATAGACCAATGGAGAAAGAAAAATGGTTTTTGAAGATGGCTGGCATCTAATTTAAGTTAAAGATGTACAGTGTGTATGGAAAGCCATTTCCATATACCAAGGAGAATAAGAAGACAGCAACTGCTACATTCCTAGTATTGCATTTATAAAAAGGAGATAAAAATCACAGATAAATGTATCCAATATAGCACAACACATTTGGCTTGAAGACTACATAGTTTTAGTACTACTGCCCTTAACATACTGTGGTGAGAAATGTACTCCCATGATTTGTAATATGAAATGGAGGAAATATGAAAAAGGTGATTACTTAAGAATCCCTCAGTGCTCCCAGATTTTTAATTTTTATTTGAATACAGTTGCGTTACAAATGACATTTTAATGTTATTCAGAATAGTGGAAATATAGGCAGGATTTAAATTTTAACCCTACAGAAATCCTTTCAGGCTTGAGGCATGCTATCTAAGTCTCCAATTTCCACATCATTTTGATAACTTAAATGCCAAAAAGCAAAAAGGGGTTGAATGGAAATATAAAAAGAGAAACACAAATTAAACAAAAAGCGGGTGGAAGCGCCTTACCAGTTTTGGGTGTCAAACTCAAATCTGTGTCAGAAGAAGAGGACTGTCGACTGTAGGACTTGGAAGGTGAAAAGGAATAGGTTTGGTTTTTCAGAGGGGTGGAGGGTCCTGATGAATGAGTATTGGGATTGGGATCTTCATTGAAGGGAATCCTGCCAGAAGAAGGTGGAAACATATTCAGTAATCCTGTGCCAAAGGACCTGGCTGACAGCAGCATGATCCAACACCAGGATGGGATTGGGGCAGGGCCAGCAGCTATTCCTGAGGTGCGAGACTGGGGATGAGGCCAGAGGCAAAGAAATGCTGGTTTACCCATTCAGCATTCTACATTTAGATGCTGATAATCTACAATGAAACAATTAAGCCAAATGAAAGGCATGAGATGAGACAAAAAATAAAATATATACAAAAAAAATTAAAAACAGTTTATGGCTTAAAAATCTGGTCAAATACACAATGCTGAGTTAGTTTAATAAAGAAAAAATGATTTAAAATTATATTTGTGTTTATACATATTCATACATTTATGTATATACACATATATGCATTTTAAGGAAAAAAAAAAAAATGTTTCCTTATCCTATAGCATCAGCAGCATGCCACAGCTAAAAACAGAGAAAAGAGGAGAGTCTTTAAGGGAGCAACTACACTGACAAACAGTTCACTTATGCACAGACTGACTTACCTGCTCTCTAAAACCATCTCTTCCACAAATGGCACATACCCTTCCTATTACTATTTCAAAACCTAAATACTGTATCTGAATTATGCCTGAAAGCAATCATGAATGCCAATTAAAAGATGATTTCCTCCAATATCATGAATGTTTCCCATATGCATCTACTTGGTTTACTTCATTTATTAGGAAGTAAGCCTGTTAAAAGAAATGAAGAGTGTGGCTTTGTGGAAGAGACTCCAATGTATTTGCAAGGAACTATTGCCTTGCTCCAGCAGCTGCACAGAGTAGTTCTTCACTGACAATAGAAGGTGTCTCCATGAGAAAATGAGGAAGAAAAGATGGGTGGTACCTGCCTACACTCCCTGCCTGCCTGCACTTTGCGACCACTTTGCCTGTGGCCTGTCTCTCCCCAGCTCTTGCGTCTGAGCAGTCTCGTACCAGTGTAGATGAGAGTGGGAACAGACACAGAGAAGTTCTGAGTAAGTCGTGAGCCAGTAGCAGTGTGAATTGGGCTGTTGTGAGTCGAACGGCATCCATGGCTTGGCGGATGAACCAGCGGAGACCTGAGAGAATTTGCAGCCAAGGTGGAAGAAAAGAAAACAATACATACAAACAGGTTGCAAAGTTATGTTATAAATGATTTCAGGGAAGTTTAGCTAGAGGAGATGTCTTATTGTAAGCAGACTCTAAGTAAATTTAAATTCCTAGCATGCAAGAGTCCAGATGAAATAAAAAGAGAGAAAGGAACAGCTTAAGCACTAGCTTGTGAATGTGCACGAGGGCATCAAGTTAGTAAAGCCAAGAATAAGAAGCATTAGTTGATTTTGCTGGTTTTGAGAAACACTCCCTTTTTTTGGACTGAGGGATTCTTACAATATTCACCACCAAGCTGAACATGGATTATCTGGGGGGTGGCATTAGCACATTTTGCTCCAGGGTGAAAGCTACTGATTTATTTATGAATGCTTTTTAAATTGGTAGTTACCAGGCCCACCTTTTCTTTTTTAATCACCGTTATTTTATGCTGCATTGTATCCAGAAGCTCTTTTGATGCTAAATTTTTAAAATTAAGTTAAACAAGCTATGATGTGAAAGAGAAACCAGTAATTTTGCCAAGTGAGAGCATACCGATGCCTGTATGACAAAAATGCCTAATCACTACTGCAATGACACAACAGTTCATGAAAATGGATACTTTATTAATACCTCCACAATCATAGCATAAGCAGTATACTTTTTGGTGCTTCTTTTTCCTTCCAGAAATTGGATCACTCTACCAAACAGAAATTAACTAATTTATCCAAATAACAAAGTAGTATCAATTTACAGATGACTGCAAGTATTTTTCTATTAATTTGTATGCACATTTTAAAAAAATGTATTCAAACTGTGCTTGGTGCTGCACTAGGTATCAGAAAGACCAAGAAATTCTGTCTCTCATCATCTGCAAGTACACTATTTAACTAGACCTGTTTTGCAATAGCCCTACTTGTTTTGCAACAGTAAAAAGCAAAGCACACAAAAAAAGACAAGACTACTTCAGGGTCATTCACTAAGTCACTGACAGAACTGTCTGAATTCAAAGTTTATCTTTTCTTATATGCTCAGCATAAACAGATAAATCTGATTGTACTGAACTTAGAAAATCTTGAACAGAAGTTATGTCATAAGAAGCCCTCACATAAGTGTTTACTGTACAAACAGAGTCAAAGCAGAACTAATTATTAATTTGGAAATTGGTGGATTGCAACCCAAGGATATGTAATACCATTGCTATATAAATTCAAAAAAGTCGTATTAGGTAAGGATTACCACTCCAACTTCTAAGGAAATAACTTAAGCAATCCAACCTAAAACACTTCAAAACTGTGCAATATAAACTTTGTTGCAGACAAACAAAACTACAAAAGAAAAATAAATTCTGGGAAGAAAAAAAGAAATCACACCAGTTATGTAAAATTGAATGAGTATGAAAAGAAGAGAGATGAAGCTTGTTTCCCTACAAAATATTAATTCATACTTACTCCTTCATTTCTTTGGATGGGGAGTTACATGCAGGTAAAAATGCTGATGGGTTACTTAGTTTATCCAACGTGCAGGCTGTTCCTATGGCTCGTACTACTAGTCCAGACTCTCCCTCCAAATCAAAACACTGCAAATAACCAACAACAGCATTTCCTCTCATCTCAAGCACTTTCAAGCCAATCTTCCTTTGCAATTCACCTACAAAACAAAACATAATTAACTCATAATTGCTGCTGGAGCACCTCGCACATGAAGACAGGCTGAGAATATTGGGGCTTTTCAGGCTGGAGAACAGAAGCTGTGATCAGGCTGGAGAAGAGCAGCCTTCAAATATCTGAAAGGCACCTACAAGGATGCTGGAGAGGGACTCCTCATCACGGACGGCAGTGACAGGACAAGGGGTAATGGGTTTAAACAGGGGAAGTTCAGGGAGAAAAGTCAGGCACGATGGCCATCAGTTAGGACAACAGAACCTTCAGAAACAGAACATACTGTGAACTAAAATAATAAACATAATTACTACTAAAAATAATATGCAATATTGTCTTAAGTCACATATTTAAATAGTGAATGTTTAAAAGTAGCAATAACCATTACAGCCTACATGTTTAATACCTGACATGAGTGAAATAAGTCTTTGTCTAGCCTCATTTGATGCCCTTGGTGTACGAATTCGGTCTATCCACTGGTATTCTGGGTCTTCATTGACTACAAGCTCTTCCACAAATCCATGAATTATTACTGCTCTGTAACACTTAGGAATGGATGTAGCTGTTAAAAGAAAATATATATATATATATATATAAAAAAATGTAAGGCATAAGTCTATGAGCCAAGAATTACAAGAAAAATATAAAATTACACATAATGAGTGATGCTAACAAGTCCAGAAATTAATGTACACAATTTTGTGTTAAAATGTGGCCATACCCAAGGGGGATATTTACATTGTTTTAAAATACAGACAGAAAATATTTATTTAAGAAATTTAAGTAAACTAAACAATTTTCTGCATTTACTACTGTCTTCAATGTAATCTCCACTAGGCTTATGCTATGAGCTGGTAAAAGAAGGGAAACTGACAGAACAGGGTAAAAAAGAAAAGACAGCGGGGAGAAGGACGGGTGGGGGGAAGTTTTCTTTTCAACAATACCTTTTTCCTCTACTTACTGCAAAAAAACTTGACTCCACAGGATGACTGCCTAAACCTGTTTAAATCATTGAAGAGATCTACTTTCACCACCACACTGATCTCCCCACGTATACCTGTCAATGAAAACCACAAAAAATTAGAAGCTGTATCAGAAACTAATATAAAACTAGTCATATTAATTAATATCTATTATTAGTAATTAATGTACTATTAACAGGGAGTTCTGCAAAGAAGGTACTACAACCCTGCTAGAACAGTTCAGCTCAACTGGCAGTTCATGTATCACTTCTAGCCTGGCCCAGAGCACCAGGAAGGTATTTCCTTGCCTCTCAGATCTGCTTCAGTGCTGCTGCATCAGAGGATGTGTCTAGTTCTGCCAAGTCTTTGAGGCTGCAGCTGGACAAGCAACAGTCCTCAAATACATGCTGCACTGAACAGGAGTTCAGAACTAAAATGAGATTGGGAAAAGAGAATCCATCAGCCTCCTGATACTGCAGTGGCCTCTGCTACGGTGTGTGATGCTCCTGTACAGTCTCCCTGCTCCTGTGACCTGCACCATCAATGCAGGACGGGTATAAATCAGTATAAGGACTGCGACCACCCCAAGATATCCTAGCACAAAAGGTTGGAAGTATTAGCCTTGAGTATGGCTGCTTTAAAGCTGGAGTCTGTACACATCACAAAGCTCTCGCCAACACCAAAAAGCTTTTACATTTTCTCTCTGAAATGCTTTCAAAACCGCAGCAAAGCTACTCTCTGTATTTCAATCCAATGAGAACATGCACAGTTCTTTCTAGAACCACAAAGTGGCACAGTAAATGTTTGTAAAATACTTTGACTATGAGAAGAATTATGCAAAAAAATAAGGTATTACAGACTTTTTAGATAAAGCTTAATTTTTGGCCACAATTAAACATCACTAATGGAATATTTTACACAGCCATTCCTTTTTGAGTTTTCTACTTTCTTATTCTTTCTTCTTTTTCCCCACCCAGTAACATAATCATTTCACATATTACAGGTTCTGACATATTGAGGACTAAATTTCTTGATGAGTCTGAACTCCAGTGCCTTCAGAAGCCTTTACCATGTAAGTATATAACAAACAAAAGCATTAAATTTGTACGTTGACTCTGACATTAGTACAATAAAGTTAACTAGATCTATCTTCCAAAATTCCAATAGAAAGAAGCCTTCAGTTACTATAACAGGAAGTGCCCTGGGTTGATATATTTTCATAGACAATCATGTTGAAGTGCAAAGAAAAAAACTAATAAAAATTTATAAACTTTTTTTTTTAAAGGAAGCATGAGTTACTGTTTGACAAGGATAAAGATAGTTAGAATCTACTGGTATGAGCATGAAAATACAAAAATTCTAATTCTGCTTAAATAGAAAACAACTGTGAAATATTAGCAGATCTAGAAAAATACAGAGAAATCTAATTCTCTCAGTGATACAAGTTGTACGCATCTTAAGAAAGGTGTTCACCTAATTAACTTCAAACAGAAATGTAGAATAGTAAAATGTGAAGGGAATAAAAGGATAAGAAAAATAAATGTATATTTCTCAAAAAAACCAACCTCTTCAATATAACTGTTTTAAACATAAAAAATAGTTCGTATCAGTAATGTTGATGATCTAGTAAATACCGTTAATTATGTTCCAACAACAATTTATAATTAGCTCTTAAGATTGTTAGGTCTATGTAAAATGGATAATGAACAAGGGTGGTACTGGCAATGACACAGATGTTTTGAAATAAGGTATTCAAGCAGCAAGCTAATTGCTGTAAGTCAACCTTGACCTTCTGGAACAAAAGCTGTGTTTCATTAAAATCAAAGGCAAAAATACCATTAACTTCATGTTCTCATACCTTCAAGATATTCTGATGAAATCTACCTAGCACTGAGAGTAATTCCTGCAGGGAAAAGGTACTTCATGCTGAAGGTATGTCACATCCTGTCCCTCCATCTCAAGTGGAGTTTATCTCGCATCTCAGGAAGGCACACCCCAAGAGCCTTCAGCAAGACTATATTAGTTTAGTAAACATACAGCAATTGGAAAAATATGTTTGGATTATTTTTTATTTTACTCTCAATTTTGCAGTAACTATTTTAAATACCACGTGAAGATTTTTTCCACTTGTCCCAAGTTCTATGGAAGACGTTCTGCCAAGCACTGGTCTGAACTACCATGCCAGAAATTTTCTCATGCCAGAAATAAGGAAAAAAAACACCAGAAAAGAAGCTTTGCAGCTCACAAGGCTAAAATTATTACAATTTTCTGAAGGCAGCTTGCATAAATGAAGATTGCAAGAAGCAGATTACATCTCAAACAACATTGTTTTACTTTCAAATTAGCAAGTCTTACCATGAATGGTATCATAGATGGGAAACCATCCCGAAATAACTGTAGCTGCTTCACTGTAGAGCAAAGGATCAATATCTATGTACACTTTGCCAATGGCATCATTAGCACTGTAGGTATCATGATCAAGAACTGTGATCTGGAGAGGCTCATCTTGTAGCTCTTCATCATCTACCTAGAAACAAATATTAACACGGAATCTTAGTATTTTTAAAAAATGCAGGGAAACACTGCTGAAAAACAAATGCAAAAAGAAAGAGGGATGCACGGTGCTGTAACACAGTTAGATCTGTAGTTTTGATTTCCTGTATCTAAACAACACACTCACTTATTTCGATTTTACCCTTCACGGGCTAGTGAGATCCTGAAGCCACAGTTACCACTGGGAGAACAGAAAAGCAAGATTACAGTAATTACACATTGTAAAATTGCACATAATTTGTTTTGAGTCACATTCCCTAGATTGTTTACCCATCTGCACCAAAAAAGTATGAATACTTTTCATTTAGAAAAAAAGGAAAATTCAAGATAAAGCATCTCAGAAGACTGCTATACTCCGAAGTTATGATTACTGGTGTTCTCACCCTCCCAAACTGCTCAGTGGCTTAAAAGAGGATATTTTATACAACCAGCTGTTAAAATCCAGTCATTTCAGACATGCACTTTACTAAGTAAATGCCACAATCTACCTGCAGACACCTCAATTGTTTTTTACGATATACAAAGATAGAAATTATACAGCTTTCTGTGCTGAACATCACAAACCATGAATCAGGTTTGCCAGGTGCAATGGGATGACTCATTTAAGTGTTTACAGCACTATAGCCTTGCAAAAGGATCAAACTCCACACACACACATGTGCACACACACACACACACAATGTCTAAAAGAGCTAGTGTTTTTCCACTCTTTAAAATGTGGAATTCTTTTTTCTTTCCCCCACTGTTGCTGTTTTCTTTCCCAAATCCATTTTCCATGCAAAAAGATAGGATTTTGAGACTTTATTATTGCCAAAAAAATCTCTTTCCCTATGAACAGAGTTAACCCTCCAGACAGATCAGGTCTTTCCTCTCCTCCTAAAAGATGACCCCAGACACTGAAAGATAAAAACAAGAAGAAAAAAAAACCCCACCTTTTTACTACCTTTTTAGTCAACACGGATTGCTGATTAAGAGATGCTCTTAAGCATTGTATTGAATAATAATCTGCCTAACCTTACTATTCTATATTTGCTCAAAAACGCTTCTAACATTACCAGCTATTACATCACTTAGTACATGTACACAGTTTCAACCATGTTTATGCTGTGATATTACCTTAGAACACTATAAATGACAGAACGATTAATTCAATTTTTTTAACAACTAATTTACCCCTAACATCTTTCTCTGTTATTAAAAAATGAAGGAAAAAGAATAATTAAAAAAAAAGAATACGTGAACAGTTGTTCAGGGCATAACATCAAAGAGTATCGATGAATTATATCCTGCAAAACATCAAGAAGCAATTACAGTAACATACCGAGTGCTCTCATTATTACATAAGGAAATGGGAAAATGAAATGTCCAACAGTTGTTGTCCAAGCTCTTTATTTTGTAATTTTCTCGTAGGAATTCTCTGTTTTCTTCTCTGCCAAGTGCATTATTTTTGCAACCCATGGTGACATTTTCAATACCAATTAACTTTCCTTACTAAAATTACCCCTTTAAAAAAAATACAAGCATACTGATATACAAAAGCCTGATTCTTCATGCTATTTCCCCCCCTACTTTCACCTCTGCCTTGTCTTTTTTAGTATTACCCAGGATAACATCTGAGGTGGATCCAATCTGGCAAGCTTTTATCTTTACAAACAGCTCTGAAAAGCCAAAGAGACACCTTTAGCAAACAAGCTCTCACTGTAGATAGGTTTGCTGAAAAGGCTTCATGTGTATTTAAACAAAAAACACTTCACCTCTCAAACTCATTTTCT